ATGTATATGTATATATATACCTGTAATATTTGCTGAGCATGTACTAATAACTATATATTCAGTGTTCTCTAGGCTGCCCTTCTTTCAATAAATGAACATCATTCCTTTCCAGGCCTAAGCTATGATTACGTATTATTGTTTTTTGAAGCCATTTAAATCCACTTAAAATTGGCAATATCTGAAGTTGTGCGCTCTTAGCTGGCTCTATATGGACAAATTTACCAGTAAAAATTTTTCAATTGGGAGAACACCATATATTATATAGTTAACTATATAATGTAGCCATTCTGCTATTGTATAGCATAGGAAACAGTTCATTTTTATTTATTAGTTTTTTTTTGTCGTGGTCTAGAGATGCCATCAGTAATGGGTGGTTTTGACCAGTTGTGAACATTAAACTGGTATAAAATAAAGCAACTCTTAGAACTTACAATGTGGCATATATTTTTATAGTTGTCTCAGGGTGTGCTGTTGATGTTTTTGAGGTGAAAGAGGTGAAAAAGGCTTCATGTTTATGAAAGGGTTTTAATTTAAACCAAATAACTGATATTATGCCTTTTCCAATCCACCTAAATGATCATGCCAGTACTTGAGGTTTAAAAGTGATGCACTGTTTAATACCATGCACGCTAGACAATGGAAGCAATATGATTGAATACAGTATTTTGCACTTAAAAAGTATTAAAAGAGGGTTTCTTTCGTGCGAGTTGGAAAAAGCGAGTTAAATGTTACAAAATGCGAGTGTTTTTTTTTTTTAAGTGACCCTTGTAACTTTTGACCTATAGGTGAAGAGTATTTTTTTCATGTTTAGAAGGTCCTAATGATCATTCCTTATAAATTCAATACACCCAAGGATATAAAGGGCCAAAGTGATTCATGAGGCTATAAAAGTCTAGCCCATACATATTCACAATAAATTGGCCTAGTTAGTTATATAACCTTTAAAAACACATTATAAAAGTAGTGGTCTACAAAATTAAAGTTAAAGTACTTACAAGATGTTGTAAAATCCTAAATTTGATGTTTTTGTGTTCCTATAATTAATATTATGACCATCAGTTAAAACCAGTTGTAGCCTATAATGGAATGTTGTACAATTTTAGGACACTATACACATGTCTCTTATGGACGTTCACCAGTTGACATTTTCCGTGCAAAAACGGCTGTGATTTACAGCATCAATCGGAATCGCTTTATTTTGGTGACAGATTATATTTGTGCTTTGATTGAACTGTACTACTACAACATTGACCCTGCCGACAGATCAAATTTTTATCATAGTACAGTACTACTTATGTTTAGACAAAGAATATAGGTTGAGGTTTTATGTACAGGTCTACTACCACCACAAACTTAACTTGGCACTGCAAGAGGAAGATTTTGCAATTATGTACCCAAGGATATAAAAGGCCAAAATGATTCATGAGGCTAAAGCCTAGCTCATACATATTCACAATACATTGGCCTAGTTAATTAACTTATACAAAACACATTATAAATAAAGGTATCTACAAAAGTAATAAATTAAAGTAATTACAAGATGTTGTAAAATCCTAAATCTGATGTTTTTGTGTTCTTATATAATATGACCATCAGTTAAAAACATTAGTAGCATATGAGAATGGATTGTTGTACAATGAAATGGGACACTAAGTGTCATGGGACATTCACCAGTTGAAATTTTCCCTGCAAAGAAAACATCAGTGATTTAGAGCATCAATCGGAATGGCTTTATTTTGGTGACAGATTTTATTTGTGCTTTGATTAAACTGAAACTCTTATTTATTTATTTATTTATTTCATTTCATCAAACCAACAGCGAATCATCGCCACTAACAGGCTGGTAAAATATATATAATTTACAGTACAGTATATCAAATACTTATTACATTGACCCGGCCGACCGATCAAATTTACCTTTAGCATAGTACAGAGTATGTTTTTTATAGAGGTTTAAGTTTTAACTATAGGTCTACTAGTACTATTTTTAATATGGCAAATATTCCTGGTAAATTCGAGCTCAATTGAGCTATTTTAAAAATTTGACTCTGATGAACCCTATGTAACCACTGATGCCAGACAAGGGTGTAGGAGGTGTCACTGGTACTTAATGATCAAATTTGATTGAATTCGGTTCAATCGTTTGTCATTAGTAACATTTTGAACCCTTGACCTATGAACTTTGACATATGGGGTAAAGAGTTTTTTTTTGTGTGTCTTTAGAAGGTCCTAAGGATCATTCCTGGAAAATTTGAGCTCAATTGGCCGGGACTATTTTGAAAATTTTACCCCGATGACCCCTATGTAACCCTGATCCCAGACTGAGGTGTAGGAGGTGTCGCCGGTTCTTAATGACGAAATTTGATTGAATTTCGTCCAATGGTTTGGTATTAGTAGCATTTTGAAATGTTACTAGAGAGTACAAAAGAATAACCCTTTAATGACCTTTGACCGTAAATCGCTGAACACCATAAGACCCTACATTATGCGAATACATATGTGCCCAGGACAAGACTGTGCTATGATATTTGTGACCGAATTCATTTTTTGGGAAGTTTTTTACCCAAATGACCCCTTTGTGACCTTTGACCCCAAGCAGTGAACACCCCATGTATGAAAGGTGTCATCGATTATACTGACCAGGTTTGGTTGAAATCGGCACAACCGTTTGGCACTAGTAGCGTTTTGAAATGTTGCCAGAAAAAAGATAAAAATTACCCCTTAATGACCTTTGACCCCTTATCCCTGAACACCCTATAGACCCTGCCTTATGCCAATGTATATGTGCAAAGGACAAGACTGTGCTACGTTATTTGCGAGACAAGTAGTCTTTTATACGATTTTTGGATTTTTTACCCTAATGCCCTTTATGTGACTTTTGACCCCAAGTTGTGAACAACACATAAATGGGAGGTTGCGCCGGTCCTACTGACCAAGTTTTAATTAAATCGGTCCAGTAGTTTGCCACTAGTAGTCTTTTAAAATGTTGCCAGAAAGAAAAAAAGAAAGAAAGAAACTGCTAGGAAACAGAACCCAGTCAGCATGCTGCTGACTGGGTAAAGAAGAAACTGCTAAGAAACAGAACCCAGTCAGCATGCTGCTGACTGGGTAAAAAACTGCTCGGAAACAGAACCCAGTCAGCATGCTGCTGACTGGGTAAAGAAATAATTATTATCATCATCATCATCATCATCATTATTATTATTGGTAGAAAAAGACAAACGTAGATAAATTAAGTGCCTTGGCCAAGGACATAAGCGACTTCCAGTGCGAGAACCCCTGACTGACCTCACTGTTGGGATATAAGTGAACTATAATCGGAGTGAAAATATATAAATTAATAATACGATTAATACGATGAAATGTATGATAAAACAAATGTAACAGATCCAAAAAGAATAGGTCTATAATCAAAACAATCTGACATTATTTAGCAAATGAATATGAAGATGCAAGGCTAAATCATTATTTGCATGTGAATGTTATATTTAGCTTTATTGATGGTTGTTACATCTGTTACGAAATAATTTCGTTAAATATAGCATGAATATAGTATGACAGTTAATGGTGGAAGAATGTTTTAAGGACCTAACCGATAGCCAAAGTCCTTGGACACACACAGTTCTGCGCATATATAAACCTAATCACATCTGGAATCAATCCGCTGCCGCCTAAAACAGATTCCTACCACATTCTAAGGTATACGCTATCCCATCAGACTTAGACCTTTGGAAATAGCACTCTCAGACTTTAAAAAAACGATTTTCGAAGTAGGCCCAGGGACGTAACCAGGATTTTGAAAGGGTGAGAGCCGTTATGCCAGGTGGGCGAATCACCCTGTGAAGTAGCGCACTCTGAACGTTTTTATGGCTGTTTTGAGAGGATAAAGTGAAAATTGCAATAAACGCATCATAACTAATATTAGTAAGCCTAACAATAGTTATATAACAAGTCAAATGCGTTGGATCCAGAAATTCGAAAGAGAGGTGACCCAGAGAGGGACTTACACAGACTAAGAAACCACCCATCTCAGCCCCACCATGGTGGGGGCTGAGTTAAGAAAAGTTATGAGTAGACACTTTCATATAGTAAAATTCATCATCATCAAATCACCATTACATAGTCAAAATAAAGCTTCAACAAATTTCTCATGGTTTGATCAGGGGTCTACTCATCCAGGACAACTTAGGTCTAACTATGGCTAAGCTATAACTATACTTGTGATCAACAAAAATCACAACTTTCTTTTTCGCCTTTAGCACAATTTTCTTCACTTTTTAATATTATTAATATTATTATCAATTATCACCATCATCGTCATCCTTATTATTATTATTATTATTATTATTATTATTATTATTATTATTATTATTATTATTAATACAACTAGGTGGGCTAGTATTATTAAACAAAACTTTAAAGAAGTTTGCAAAAGGAAAAAACCAAACTGAACCGTACATAACGTTTCTGTATCTTAAAAGACTGGCCTGGGATTTATGGATTTATGTGCTATAATAATGTAGTAAAGCCTATTAGGCCTGTATAACGTGTACCGATGGCGGGAACTGATGCATATTTACGTATTTTAGAAGTATTCAATTTGAGTGATCCCAGAAAAGAATTTGTATTGGCTCAAGAACAAGCTTTAAAAGTTTTACACT